CAGGACTGGGACAGTGCAGGTTTTCTGATCCCATGCAGACCGGGTAAAGAGAGTCAGAGTCCTCAGTGGTTTTGCAGTTTTTTATTTGGGTTCACCAGGCATATGGCAGCAGGTGCTGGCTGGGGGGCTGGGAGGCTGGCAAGCCTCCCACCCCCAGCAAGTTTCACTCTATCTGGCTCTCTGAGTTGATTCTTGCTGCCAAGATTATCTTGTCTTTCGGTCCTCTCTTTCGCTTCATACTCTGCTACGCTGCTGCTGCTACTGGTGCTGCTAGCGTTCCCCCGTGATGCCGCCCTTAAAAAGCAAGTCTTAGCTCAGCTGAAATCATCTACCTATGCCACACCCTATTCCAGGTGCCCCCATCAGGCATGCACTCAGACAAGGATCCATCATCTATCCTGATGGCGGAAGGGCAGAAAAGCCTGACATTTCACAATTATTACAAAGGATATTGTCATGGATAGCTGAGGAAAGACAGACATAAGTCTTGAGAAGTTTGGGATGGCAGCTGGGAGAAGAGATTCAAGATTTGCTCTGCTCTCCTTAGCACACCACAGACTTTATTAGCAGGAACAACAAAGCACAGTTTGATTAAAAGTAGGATACAGATAAGCAGAGGTACAGAACAATGTTTCAATTTTCTATTTCTGGGTATTCAGCATATTTCTGGCACACATTCATTGCCAAGGTTCTGCATAATCAAATTTTCTTCTCTCATGCTCGGTTTTGATGATCCATGGGAGGACATCATGGTCTGTACACAGGCCAGCTTTCCAGCCCATGCTGACCAGCGTTCTGGTCCTGACATCAGGCCCTCCTGTTTCAGCACTGTAGCTTCTGGGTCTCCAATATCTCCCCCCTTTTGTTTTTAATGCACCCTTGACAGTGAATGTGGCAGCACACCACTTTAACACGACAAGAAAAAACTAACAAAAATAATAAACCTATACCAAACAAAATCCAAAAATTAACATTGAGACCTGAGAACAAGTTCTGTTGGATTTAGCCAATAGGCTATGTTGTTTAAATTGCCAATGTGGTTTTGTTGTAATTGTGCCAATTGTTCATAGTTTGTCTCTAAAGTCCATGACATTGAAATAGGATTACATTAGAACGGATCACAACAAAACACAAAGCTTGGTTGTCCATAGGGCTTGTTGATGTTCACCAGGTCAGCATACAGCAGCCTCGAGGCATCAAGCCTTGGTCTGCTGTTCTGGAGGCCAGCACAGTGCATGAAGGATCTTCTTTTTTCTTTTTGACTCTTATAGTGTATCCAGGTGGTGGCTGGATTACGAATGGCTGCACTCTGTAATAGATGGTCCTTCTTTGATGCCAGCTCATGATGATGTACTGCATTTGCTGGAACCCTGTTGGCCCTCTAGGTGATAAGACAGAAACATACCCTCTCCCCTTTGTAGGTAAGTAGTGAGGGAAATCAGACTTTTCCGCCCTCCCACTGTGCATACGCACTTGGCCAAATGGCGTGGCACCTGTGGTTGGTATGTGTGCTAGGGCAGTGCAGTGCAGTGGTGTGGTGCCCAGGATGGAGGAGTATAGTGGAAGGACAGAGAGTGAGGTGGAATGTAGCAGAGTGTGACGGAGTATGGCAATGAACAAAGGAGAGCATGAAGACACCAACGGCTGCTAGACCGGTAATGAACCGACCCAGTATGGTTGGTTGTGCTACATTTGACGTATGGGGCAGCAGGATGGTTCAAAGCGGGATGACTCAATGCAGACGTGTATGGAACCCTTTGAAACCTGGGAGGATTGCAGGTGGCCGCCATGAGCAGATGATGCTCGGTGGCCAGCCTCCTCTCCCAGTGGTGCCTGCACCTCCCCTGCAGTGACCCTTAGGGCTAATGGCTTGCGCCCGGTCCCTAGGTCCGGCTGGCAACCACGCGCAGGGGAGACAGCAAAACCCCCTGAGATATACCTGCTGCACCTCCTCCTGCAAGTGACCTCTAGGAATCCCTAGGTCCGGCTGGGCAACCAGCGCGCAGGAGGAGAACAGCAAAAACGCCTGAAGACATAGATAAGACGGAAGCCTGTTGAAAGATAACGACCACCAGGAGCCACTACAGGAATGCTGTCCGCTCGGAAACTTATCTCACCTTCTCTAGACCCACAACTTTATTCTAATACAACTGTCTCTCTAAAATCTTTTTTCTTTCTCTGTTTAAAAGGTCATTGTTTGCCGATTAAAAAAAGAACATACGAAATCTAATAACTAGGCTGATTCAAATGAAACGTTACTAAACTCTGTGTATTAATAGAACTGCTAGCTTATAATTTCTCTGTGTATGCTTAGCCTTGTTAGTATTAATCTAAATGATAAAAATATTACATTGTGAAAAGTAAAATTCACCCGTGTTAATTAATAAATAGTGAGTAGTTAAAACAAAAAGTAATCATATAAAACAAAAAAAAATTAATAGCCTAACTACTTAGGAATGCGCCTGGGTCCAGATGTAAACCACTGCCCTGTCAATGATAAGCTAAACCTATAAGCAAGCTGATTTCTTCACTGATGTTCGCCATTCTATGCTTTTAGAAAACATATATATACTGGTCACCAACTCAAATAAAATTACACTCAGATTTCACTCTTGAAGTGTGTCTGTTTGTCATTTCTTTAACCGAATCCCTGACCACCCTGCGCAGTCTCTCAACCCTGAGACGGCCTCATCGTTCACTGCTGTGCTGGTCCGCGGCAAGTGGGCACCTCCCCAGGAATGGCCAGAGGTGCGTGGATCCCCAGGGCAGTTGAACAGGCCCTATATGAAATAGAAGAGACCCTGGATAGATACAGTGCCGCGAGGCTGCAGGGGTTTTGGGATGGGGTTTCTCACAGCTCTGAGAGAGTCTAGGCAGAGAGAGTGATCAGAACCCAGCAAGTACGGGATGAGAATGAGAAGAGATGTGGATACTGCAACAACATTTGAGGATTCTGGAG